CGTGTTCACCGGATGAGGGATCGCAGAAAGTCTTCCGGATGGTGGATTGTTATGATTGACATAGAGGTTTATGTGCTTGTAGTATGTACCATTTGCTACTGGCTAGTAGTCATCTGCTTTGTGCACAAGTCGTAGCTACAATGACGCCACATAGGTGATCCCTAAGCCGATCCATATGGGAGGGTAGGCCGTGGTGCCCGTGTAAATGATACATATTTCTATGCCATGACTCATGACATTTACTTAGTTGTTATTATTAAATACTATATGAGATTGCCATAGATCCTATGATGGCCACATAGGTGTCCTGGGGTTCCCTGCTTATGCATAGTTAACATGGTGGTAAATCTTATATGGTATTAGGTGATAGTGACTAAAAATTTTGAAAATTTTGTAGGGCGTATATCAATTCATTTTGTCCTTATCTCTGAAAATATGAGATAAATCTGCATTATGAAATTTCTGAATTGGAGTAGGACGAATATTGAAGTCAAGATAATAATTTCAATTTTTTCAATATTTAAATTACATGATAAGGAAAAATATATATTGATTACGAATCGATAGGACTCTGAATAATTCATATAAGTTTCCATCAATGCTGATATTTTGAATGTACAGTACAAAATAATATTTATCGTAATTTAAGATCTGCAATTAGATTAAAACTTTTATCAATTTGTTATTTATTTAGTTCTGATGTATTTCAGGTTCTTTTGCAATGCAAGTTAATGGCTACACCAAATTTTTTGGAAGAATGTTAATTTTAATATTGTATATAAACATAAAGCAGATAAAAAAGAAATTTTTACAATATATTTTATTTGTTTCACAATTTTCTAACGATCTCTTATGGAGTGGTTACCAAATAAAACAAATAGGAAATTTATTACAAGTAGAAATAAATTTAGTACTGATCTACCTTTTTTAAAGGCACAAATCGGACTCAAACTCGTAATACAACGCTAAGAAATTGAAGAATGATAAGTTATAGTAGTATTGCTTTACTTGTGAAAGATTTTAAAAGGATAAAGATATTAATTTAAGAATAATAAAGAGTTCGTACTCATTGGCAAAGTTTCAATTGATTTGATTAAACTTGATCTTTAAGTACATCAAATTTTTTTAATTATCTTAGTAAATATGTGATACATAAAAAGAGTAAATAAGGAGTTAACTAATTGTAACTGAATGTGTTCAAGGCTCACTTTTGTATGGATTCTATACAAACATATCGTAATTGTCATAATTATCATAAATATATTGTGGATTTAAACTGAAATCCTGAACGTTTCATCCTAAATTTAATATTCAATAAAAAAAATTTAAAATGCAAGTGACTAGAACTTAGACTAGAATTGAACTTGCCAAAAAACAGACATGCTCTCACCAGGATAAGATTTAAAATCTGTTTGCTTCATCTTTAAACACATAGGAAAGAAACACTTTAAAATATGAAAGAATCTAACTAGAGCGAGCTATGACTTTAAACACCAATCGGCAAACACAGAGGGACCAGCCAGAAGACAAGGGCATATGCTATGTATGGTTTACTACGTATCTAATAAATCAAGGTTGTCGACAATCACATATGGTCTAGAAAGTACAACATCTTCATTATACTAGAGACCAGATGTAAAACCTAGACATCACCAGAAATAATGGGCGTTTTTACTAATAAAACTCCAAGAAACTAAAAACCATGTAATTTTAGCTTTATTTATATCAGGAGAAAATTTTGAAACCCATAAAATCTAGTTATAGATAATAAATAGGAATGGGCTATAACTGTAAAAGACTTTTGACCAACCAATCAGTTTGACCGATCACCTGACTGACTATTTGACTGACTATTTGATTGGCTATTTGACCAATCATTTTAAGCAATGATTGTAATTTAAGTTACGCTGAAAAAAATTTTTGATTTTGATTAACTAAAATAAGTGATCACATGACAGGTCTCGTGTGATACAGGAGAAATTCTCACGCAAATAATTTCACTTTGCGCTATGTCTATCACTTTATTCTGTTTCATCAAAAATAATACGCTTTCTTAGTGCTCCTACCGGGTCAAGTCAGGTCGGGTTTTGAGGAAATATTCAACCTGATCTGAATAAAAAAATATAAGACTCGTATTTATTCAGGTCTCATATTTTCGTAACCCAACCCTTGACTCGACCGAGTATAATTTAACTCGTGTAATTTGGGTTAGACCCGAACATTTAAGTAAAATGGGTACTAACTTATTATATTATGTGAGATTTTCTTCTAATAATAATAAAATTAATTTCCTTTTATTTGAAAAAAAGGCAACTTAGTGATTAACCACTAGTAGCCACCTGAAATTTGTATCATGAATGGTTATACAAAACATGTAACACTAGCTCTTATTTTAAACAAAAAAAAATAAAAAAAAAAAAAATAAAAATACGAATTTTGAACCTGGTTTAATATAATAAAAGTCAAAGAATTAGGCAAAATAATTAGCAGATATTCAAATCAAAGATAAATTGGAATTCTAAAGCTATCAGAAAAATATTATTCTCAAAAGCAAAAAGTTAATTTTTTTATTTATCTGATTAAGCTATGTTAATATTTGTTAAAACTAATTCTTGGCTTAATTTTGGCCAAAATTATAATTTTGCCAGAATTAAAAACATCCGGGTCAAACCCAGGTCAAGGAAATTTATAACCTGACCTGGCGGGTTGGGTCATGCGGGTAAAGATGTAGTATGTAATTGATAATTACTACCTTATGTTGTAATAGTAAGGGTTGCAATCTATTACTACTTTTAAAGTTAAAGTGTTGTAATATTACAACACTTATGATTATTCAAAAATTTTCTTTTTGAAAAATAAAAATTACAAAAATAAGTTTTTATAGAATAAATATCATCATAAAAAGAAATAATTAATATATTAATATACATATTTGTATAATTAAAAATAATTACAACACTATATAATAATTACAATTTTAATAGTATTATAATACTATATAATAATTATAATATTGTATTGCAATTACAACAAAAGTGTTGTATGTATGTTGTAATAGTTGCAACCTTACAACCTTCTAAAAATAATTACATATCACATCTTTACATGCGGGTCATGCGGGTCACGGGTCATTAAAAATCGTTAGTACTGACCCGATTTAAATGTCAAGTCGGGTCAAATTAACCCGGGTCGACTCGTATCATTCGGAGCACTACGCTTTCTCTGTTAAAATAAGTAGGACGAATCTATTAGTGAACTAAAGAAAAGAATTTTCCGCAGACAAGTTCAAGCTATGGAAGGTGGCGATCGCAACAATCATTTAAGGAACTGAAATTAGTGGCGAAGGGTTAAAGTCAGATTTCTTGGTACGGATTTTATATTTGCAAAAAATTATAATGACCATGTAATATTTGTGGATGAAGAAAAAGATTTCGAAGGGGTAAAAGTATTGATGGTATGACCTATATCAATTATCACGATAAAAAGAACAGTATTATAGTTGAAGAAAAATATATTGATATTATGAAGCAATTATTTAAGTTACATATTACACTAAGTTCACATTTACATTGAAATTTGCTAATTTTCCTTACATAGTAAAATAAAAGTATGAACAAAAAATGATTTATCTGCTAAATAAATAAATGAATAATTAAATATACCTAATAATTAATAATTGTTAAATCATTGCCCCGATAATTTAAAACCATAGTTTGGTAACAGTAAGATAAAAAAGATAAAATAAATTTGCCAATTTTCCGACTGGTCATGCAAGGTCGCAAGGTAGAGACAAATAAAAAACGTGTAATCATCGTAATGCATGTAATGTAACACAGAAAAGCTTTGAAGTTGATACAAAAACCAAATGATTAACAATGGCGTAATATTCTACTATGCCCCTTTTAGAACGTAATAAGATTTAATAACTCTGATTTTGTATTATATTACATATATTACATGTATTTTTCTTATGTGTGTTTTTAAAATTTATTTTTTTGTTTTTTGTCGCCACCTTGCTTGATTGACATCAATTTCAACTATTTTGATTCATGCACTACATGGCCTTTGACCAACAACAACATTAAACAAAAATGTAAACGTGAGGCGGAAGTTGCAAATTTCCCTTATATACTTCTATGTCAAGAGACTTAATCATCATTTTTTTCATTCAGATTATAAACGCCAAAATTAAAAATTAACACATAATATTGTCGCACGAGGATTTGTAGAACATTAGAGTATAAATATAAATATATCCCACTATTATGGTAAAAAAAAGGTCCGTTCTTTATGTCATTATAAAGAAACTAATAGTATTTAACTGGTAATCTTTATTGTCTAGTTTGAATGATTTTTTAATTGGTTAAATTCTAACCGGAAAGGACTTATTGTACTTTAAAATAATTTCTATCAATGATTTTATGTAAGTCCTTTGAAAAAATAGTCATTTAAATTTTCATTTAAATTTTCAACAACATACCTATTGCTATTTATAGATTTATCCCTTAAACGGTAAGACACTGCAGGCAAATTTGCCTGCAATTTTACCGAAAATTCAGTTCTCATTTAATTTTATAAAAAACGAAGTTATTTTAATAAAATTTTTTTTTGCAGAGCTTAAATCTTAATTTATGTGACAAAAATTATTATTTGTTAATTTCATATTATAAAAAAAAAATTGAAGATTAAACTATTGGTCAAAAGTTGTATTTTTTAGATGACAAAAAATTTTGAAAAATTTTGCATTCAACTTTGACGATCTCATTGGAATTTGATTATGGCTATATTAAAGCTTAATAGAATATGTAGATTTGCTATGGGGAACAATGTTTATTATTATGATTTTTAATGTTTAGAACTGGCAATTTGACTTTACATAGAACCCTAAAAAAAGAATTATTTTTGTGAACTTGTAAAAAAATGCAAAGTTAAATTTTATCATCTCTATTTTGTTCATTAGGGTTTGAAGTTTCATAATAAAAATAAATAAGTATATTAAAATGCTTTGTAATGAAGCAGAATATTATGGTAAAGAAAATTAATTTATTATATAAAATTTCCGATGTTATTTTTTCTGTCTAATTTTGGTGATTAGCCACATATCGAACCATACAATTGATGCTAAGAATGTAGATCAATATAACTGCGGAATTATAGGATAATCCAAATCATATTGACAAAGTTTGTATTTGGATATAATTTATTTTAAAAAATTGCAGGCAAATTTGCTTGCATTACCGTTTAAGGGATAAGACATTTATGTAATCAAATTTTAAAAAAATTTGATTCGCTTTAATAATAAAACGTAATATAATACAAAAATTGTAAACCATAAAATTCGTAGAAATATTCCAGAAATTGAAATTTTTAAATTTGATAAAATAGTTTTTCCCGTCATTCAAGAAGTTTCTAAATTTAGTTTATGCCGAACTCTGTTTATACAGTTGCGGTGATTGCAAAACTTGGCAGCTGACCACAACTTACACAAATAAAGCTTTTGTTCGCCTTTCATTTCATTTGTTACTTTCTCCTTTTTGTTTTGAATACGTAATAAAGGCAATAGATATTTAGATAATATAAATAGATTATGCCGGCAAAATATGAAAAAAGAAAAAAAAAATAAGGAAAATAAAAAATGTCCCTTAATAAATATCAAATTTTTCCATTGGCAAAAAATTCAGACTTATTTAAAAACGATATTGAAAATAATGAAAATACAAATATTTCAATAGATTGGATTGAGGATGCCATTAAAAAAAAATAATATTATATCACGACTGGAACTACAAGAGTATCTAATTTTCAGGTATAAGATTTATTAAATAAAAAAATGATAAATAGATACAATTAACTAACTAAATTAAATTGAATTATAGATAATTTTCAAGAAGAAGAATCAACAGAGATTTTTGTTGAGATTGAAAATACGTTAGAAAGGGCACTGCAAACCATTCGGGAACAACATGCATTATCAAACATTCGATGGGCAAAGTCTTTTAATAAAAATACAGAAGATGTTAGAAAGATAGTTAATAATATTAATAGATATAATAATAGAATTACCAATCCAAAAACTTGGAAAGAACATAATAATAATACTATGTTTTATGAGTAACGTATGTATTGTACAGTATATACTTTCGTTTAGAATGTTTTTTTTCTTCTCGTAATTAATGTATGCTGCTCCTATAAAATAAACAGTCAAGTTTTTCTTAAAAAAATGCGAAAAACAAATTTATCAAATTCATTTATTATATTACCTTGTTCTTTTATAATTGTCTTAGAAAAAAAAGGAAGTTTTATAAGTTGTTATAAAAAAAAAACTTCCTTTTTTTCTAAGTTGTTATGAAAAAAAACTCACTTTTTTTCTAAGTGTTATACGGTCGTTACGCATTTGTGACAATCAGTATCAACGTATTACAAATTTCAATGTGATGATAAAATGTGATGTGACAGAGAAAAAATCACGTGATCGCCAAATTTTTGTCGTTGCATTATCTTTTTTTCGTCAGCCTGGGGCAAATAATGAACTTGAAAGAAGTCCTGCTAAATAATGAAATTCAAAGAATACGCACTGAAAACGAATGGATAGAATGATGCAATATCACAATGTAAGCATCATGCACGTCACAGTCCGCAGTCCGCAGTCCATATGATTCATTGCAGTGACGTTCATAATAACCTGCGCCTCATTTCTTCTTCCGTAAGTCGCAAATGTACAATATATTATCTGATGAGATCGGACTTAGTCTTGGCACATTAACCAAGCCTATATCATCACAGAACAAATCCAAGAAAGACTACGATGGATAAAATAATTTTATGGCTCGAGAGAGAAGGGAAAAGGATAATTAGTTTTGCAATCAGTAGTAGCAACGATGATGACGAAATTAGCAATAGTTAGTATGTAGTAGCGCCATTACTTTTACATACGTAAAAGCGTCTAGGGGCGGGCACATTCCTCCCTTGAAACATCCGCTACTCCGATATCTTTTACATTTACTTTTATTTTATTTTCCGCAAGTGTTCATATTAAACATAAAGGAAAAAGAATGATTTTTCATTGATTTTATGATGTAAATTTATTTGTTATGTAGCTGAAATATAAAATAATTATATAAATCGAAGAAAAAAAATCTTAATTTGTAAAGTAACATAAGAATAAAAACTAATTGCTTAAAAGATTTTTACTTTTCACATCTTTATACATTATATACTTTAGTGCTTTTTCAACACGATCATCATTTCCTTCATAATAATCTTTCAAAAAATAATGGCCGGAAGCTGGTGACTTAGTAATTTGAACTAATCCTATAAAAACTGTACGTTTTCCACCATTATCAGCACTAGCATACATGAAATAAAATCCTCCAGTGATAGGCTTGTCTACATTATCCTCACCGCATTTAATATCTATATATTTATATGTAAAAGCAGAACCTTCGGTATCGAACAAGCTTTTGAGATTTGATTTAAGAATTTCTTTAGGTTTCTGATCAAGATAACTGAAATGATTTTCACCGAAACTGGCGGCATTGTCTTTTTGAATAACATGAACACCTGATGCAACTTCTTGTGAAAAAGAGCCACCACAAGAAAACCCATGTGCTTTACACTTAGTATGAGTTATCCAATTGAGGTCTTCCTCCATATTTTTGAAGGTTGATATTTCATCCTGTGCTTTTTTTTCTAACGCCATTTGAAAATATAACGAAAGATATTTAATGTATAGAAATCAGGAAAAAAATGGATTAAGAAAAATTCCTGTCTATTGGATCTTTCATTTGCTCGGATTTATATTCGCGCAAAAGATACCATTTATTCCTATTTAAGAAATAATAAAACGCAGTCTGATTGTCTGAATCATTTTGTCGTCGCAAAAGAGAAATAATAAAGTGCAGTCTGATTGTCTGAATCATTTGTCGCGCAAAAGATACCATTTATTCCTATTTAAGAAATAATAAAGCGCAGTCTGATTGTCTGAATCATTTTGCCGCACAAAAGATACCATTTATTCCTATTTAAGAAATAATAAAGCGCAGTCTGATTGTCTGAATCATTTGTGTGACATTATAATTTTTTCCCCAAAAAATGTGCCGATAATGTTGATAATGCCTTTTTGGTTGTATATCAGATCACATTAATGTGTAAATCGCTCATGATTTTGAAAGTGTAATACATGTTACAGAAAAATTCTAGATGAACTGCAAGACACATGAATATGTGAAAAAGATGTATTGTCGTATTGTTCCAGATAAATAATAGAATTGGTAAGTTTAGCGACGGCTTCACACCAATGTAGGTGGGCCAAAAACACCCCTAGGATTAGTGCACCCATCGAGGGTTCCAAGACATACTGCAGTTCCAAGATCTAGAATTACATCAAAAATTCCGAGAGCTATATCTTCATCCGCAACATCAAGACCTGCAACACCTTGCACATTATTTTTTGCGTATTAAGTGACAAAGCTATATAATTCCAGTGTAATAATAGCAAATGCTTGTGATAGGGTTAAGATTCGTACACCAAATCGGCCGGTAGAAGTGAATGAATCGACTTGAATCGTAGCTTTCTTTGCACAGGTTCGAAATTCAGGGGCAAGACTTAACTACACTATCTGTAAGATTGCTTGATGACCTAGGCTTTTTTATTACCCTCTCTTCACTTCGAGAATCTGAATCTGGCTTCTGCACCTCCTCCAATAACCATGAAATATGCCTGAGGACTCTTTCAACGTTATCCCCATGTTCTTACTATCATATACAGCAGTTACCGGCTTCGACAGTTTGAATCTTATCCTGTCCTGATCATCGAGCGAGCACTCCATAAAATACCATTCTTTTGCATCTGTGATAATTCCGAAGGTCCTGCCCGTAAACACACTTTCTTCCTCCATCTCACTCGCCTTACGTTGAAGGACATTTTTTAATACGAGCCCTTAAATATTGAATAAATTAGTTTTATTGTATATGTTCTATGTAAGCACTGGGCATTTTTCACGTATGTTATTGATCACTTTATAATAGCGATACATAAATTTTGGTCAATTTACGCTACTCTATCATGTGGCCTTCGGTAAATCAGTTATCATCTACAACATGACTGATAACATTTTCCAGATAATCATGTAACACAATAGTTTTCTAAGCTACTAACTATATTTTGATTAACTAACGATGCATGCCCCCCTTGACCTTTGAAAAAAAGTTTTTTTTCAAAAAAAAAAAAAAAGATTGCATAGTTACGCATAGGGATGGCAACGGTCGGTCATGGTCGGTTATTGGTCGGTCATAACCGGTTAAGGGCCTTTGACTGACCGACTGTTTTGGCTGACCGTTTTGGCTGACCGTTTAACCGACCGTTTAACCGACCATTTAACTGATCACTTTTTTTCTTTTTAACGAAGAAAAAACGTTAAAAAGTATAATTTAATCAAAAAAAAACGTAATTAACTTTTTTTATTGATTAAGTTCGTAAAAAAAAGATTTAAGTGAATATATTTGGCTAAATAATCAGTTAAACGGTCAGTTAAACGGTCGGTCAAATGGTCGGTTAATATGGCAAGCCGAGCTGGACTAAACTATCAGGCATTGGGCGGGTGAAAAATCAAGCATGGATTGACAAAATGTTACACCGTGCCTGACATTTTACCTGTTCATGCTTGATATTCATCTGTACGTGCTTGATGGTTTTATCCGACCATGCTTGACATTTTTATCCGTCCATGCTTTATGTTTTTATCCATCTGTGCTTGATATTTTTGTCCGTCTGTGCTTGATGTTTTTGTCCAACTGTGTTTGATTTAATCCAACTATACTCGATAATTTTATCTTTGTCAAAAATTAGTTTCTTTGTCAGCACAGGGTTGATATTTTGTCGGTCACATGTTTTTAAGTTTAGCGTAGTTTTAAAAAAATTTTTTTTTTTTTTTTTTATTGGCTTTTTTTTATAAACAAATTTTGTAGAGAATTTTTATTTTTAATATAGGCAAAGGCTTTGTTTGATAGATTTCTTTGGGAATTTTTTTAATAAGATTTTTTTTGGTAAAAAATTTCGTTAGAAAATTTTTTTAACAAGTAAGATTTTTTTTTGATGATAATTTCGTTAAAAACTTTTATTTGATTTAATAGGGGAGATTTTTTTTTTGATATAGAAATTCTTTTGAGAATTTTTTTTAATAAGGTGGTAAGAATCTTTGAATTTTTCTTTAATCGGAGATATTTTTTTTGATTGAGAATTTCATTAGAGAATTGTTTGTTGAAAGATTTTTTATTTTTTTGATGGAGAATTTTGTTTAGAAACCTTAATAGAAAATTTTATTGAAAATAGTTTTTTTTTAATAAGGGTATCGAGAATTTTGGCTTGAAATTTTTTTTTTTTTAATAAAGAATTTCATTAGGGATCTTTTTTTTTATAAAAAATTGATTGAAAATTTATTGGAAAATTTTTTATTAAATTTTACAATTTTAATAAATTTTTACTCCTCTTCATCTTCCTATCACTTCTTTTAATCTTCCATCGCTCCTTTTCGTCTCCTATCACTCTCATCGCTTCTTTTCGTCTCCCATCACTTCTTTTCGTCTCCCATCACTCCTTTTCGTCTCCCATCACTCCTCTTCGTCTTTCATCACTTCTTTTCATCTCCCATCACTCCTCTTAATCTTCCCATCACTTCTTTTCGTCTCCCATTACTCCTTTTTATCTTCCATCACTCCTCTTCGTCACCCATCACTCCTCTTTGTCTCCATCACTTCTTTTCGTCTCCCATCACTCCTTTTCGTCTCCCATCACTCCTCTTCGTCTTTCATCACTTCTTTTTGTCTCCCATCACTCCTTTTCATCTCTCATCATGTCCTATTTCTCCTTTTTGTTTTCTATCACTTCTCATTACTCTTTTTTACTCCCTTTCATCTTCTATTACTTTCCATTACTCCATTGTTATTTTATTTTTTTATTAGCATCTTTTTCCTTGATCATTGTAATTTACTTATCTTTATTATTTATTGTTATTGTTTCTTTTATTTGTACACTTCAATAAAAATAAATATGGTGATTTTTTTCTTTAAAATCGTAAATGTGACTTAAATTTTAATATTTGTAAATAAAATTTCATTAAATAAGATTACTTTGAATAAATATGCAAAAAAAAATTTAAAAAAAATATCTTTTGCAATAATAACTGAACAAAAATTAGATACATATTTGGAAAAAAAAAATCCAGGCGATGAATCGCCCAGGCGACGTTTTAGCAATCCCAATTTTTATTTACTATATATATTAAAAGTATTTAAAATAGTAGATTTTCAAAAATTATTATTAATGATAAAAAGAAAACCACTTCAAACAAATTTCTGCTATATACTTTTTTTAAAGTTAACATTATTAACTTTTTAATTTATGTCGGCTCATGTGGAGCTTTACTAGTATATAAAATTTGCTTAATTTACTATGCTATTTAGGATTCTATCATAGTTTTTTTTAATTTTATCTTAATATGTGTATAAGAGACAGGTTATCATCTACAACATGACTGATAACAATTACTTAATTATCTCTTCTACATGGCGCTTCTTAGTTGCAGATTCCTCACTACCTACTGCTCTATCCTTTAATAATCCTACGATCACTTCTAAAACACTCTTTACACTCTTACACAATTTTGTGTCATCTTTGAGGAAGTCTTCAGTTAGTGAAATTCAGTATTCAGTTCTACTCGTATTATAGATGCAATTATCATCCAAATCAGAGTAGTTAATGATTGTACCCTTTCCATTAATAGTATGTATAATGGCATATCACATATAGGTTGTATATTTTGAATTTTGATGATGTACTCCTATATTTCTTGTATTCTGAAATTCTGACAATGTTTTCGAAGTTATCTTTTTGGGCCGAGATGAATCTACGAAAAATCATATCCCTTTTCATTTCATTTTAACATTTAACAACTATAATTCAAGTTGCGTATGATAGAACTTTTGAGCATGACGCACTCTTGACTGCCAGTTTATTAATAGATTGTAACATAACGCTTTTATAGGGTGATTATGCTCAGGTAAAAAAAAAGTGTTATGTTGGAATTTACCATCACACAGACCTTTCATTCATATTCATGACTAGAAATTATTAATATAATAGCGAAACTATATAAAAAAGCTATATCTCATTACTAAATGCTAATATACTAAATAATAAATTTTGCGAATACATTGCCATTACAAAATACAAATATAATATTCATGCTTTAATATAATTTTCTGAATTGAACTTTTTTATTAATATTACGTAATTTGCCTTACAGCAGATTAAGAATTCTCTGAACGTGCAAGTTTATCGATTGCTTTAATAAGAGAACTGAATCCTTCCTGAAATCTTTCTTTGTTAATGCATTAACAGAATCATTGGTAGTTTTTATTGCTTTTGTTAGTTCATTGACAAAATCTATTAGTTTCTTAATACTGCTTGATATATATTGACTTTTCTCTAATTGCAAATGCTATTTTTCTAGCTCCATACAGCCCACTAGCAAATAGTTCAGCCTGGGATAATTTCAGATATTCAGTTTTGAGATTAGCTCATTATTTGTCACCTTTTCCTTCATCNAAAAAAAAAATACTTCGTGTAAAAACTATGCTAAACTTAAAAAACGTGATTGACAAAATATCACCCCTGTGCTGTCAAAGAAACTAATTTTTGACAAGATGAAATTAAAATCAAATACAGTTGGACAAAAACATCAAGTACAGATAG